ACCGAAACATTCCCGGGGGGCGTGTTTTTGTTTTCAAAACAATAAAATCGTAAATAAGGGTGTCTCGTTGTCCTTTCGTTCAGAGGGAAGAAGGGGGAAGGAGGGAGGTGGGTAACAATCGGAATTTTTTTTTAAATCACTATTATTTTAAATCATAACGCGCGACAATGAACAATCAAATTAATATCTTTAAATGTGGTTCGCCTAATGACACGCACACGCACACGCACACGCACACACAAACACAACGCAATGTTTCAAACGCGACAAACAACGGAAATTCTTCGCGGGTTTTTTTAACGGAAACGTTTTTCGGCAAAAAAAAAAGACTTGAGTAAAATTCAAAAAAGGGAGGCGTGGGTGGGTGGGGGGGGAGGACGCGCGTACAAAGACAGGTAACACGCACGCACGCACGCACGCACGCACAAGAAAACCTACGTCGAATCATTACAATTCATTACAAAACACAACAAGGTATATAATTGTTTGACCTTAGAGTTGTTCGACGACAAAGTTTAACGTGACCCCGGGTTCGTGACCCCTTTAAATCGACCTTTACTCCTTTACCAGCATGTTTCGACCACATTAATTTTGATTTATTTATATTTTCTATTAAAAAGGAGAGAGGAAACGGGAGGGGAAGAGGAAGAGGAGGAGGGGGAGAGGAAAGATTCGACAAACGAAAAGTGTTGAGTGGATGCTCAATTGAGTTTTTCAATAATCGAAAAAAATTTTTTTTTTTTTTTTTTTTTTTTTCGTTAAACGATTCGCTGCAAGACACCGGACCAAATCACAAAAAAAAATTTTTTTATAAATGTGTATTTATATGGAAACTAGTTGATTAAATGTTGATTTTTTTTTTTTTGAACAAACAACAACCTCAACAAACAAATCATCAATATTGATTAAAAAAAAAAAAAAAAAAGGAAGAGAGAGATAATATAATGAAAGAAAGAAAGGGAAAAAAAAGGCATTGAAAATGATGATGATAATAATAATAAAAAAAAAAACGGTCGGTGATATATTAAATATGAATTGAAAAAAAGCACATGATACCCCCGCGGCGTTCGAACGCGGAGAAAATTGTGTGTGTGGGTTTTTCGAGTTCCAGCTCCAGCGGCGAATGCATTCGAAGAAAGAAAGAAAGAAAAACTCTAAAAGGCATTAATTATTTTAAAGTTACGGTTATGTTTGTTGTTGTTGTTCTTGTTGTTTGTGTTTGTATGTTTCAAATCAAACCGAACCGATCCCTTTCTGTTTCTATTCAGCAGTGTGTGGTGTTCGGGGAAGGAAAACGGGTTAAAAGATTGATCGCGTGACACCTTACAATTTGTTATCGTCAAATAAATGAGTGTTGCCTTGCTACAATGTTTTTTTTTTCTTTTTTTTCTTATTACTCTCTCTCTCTCTTGCATATATTCATTTTTTTTTCACTTTTAATTTCTTGCTCTTTCCGTCTCTCTCTCTCTCTCTCTCTCTCTCTCTCTTCAACACTTTTATACCTTTCGGTCGTAAACGCATTTGCATTCGTTAATTTGTAATATCATTAATCGATTTCCTTGTTTTATTTTAAATTGTGTTTCCCTTTTCCCCTACTTGTTTCTCCTATTCTCTCTCTCTCTCTTTCTCTTTCTTTCTTTTCTAACTCGCTCATACACGCATGCATGCACGCACACACTCTCTCTCTCACTCTTGTTTTATTATTATTATTATTATACCGAATTCATTAACTAATTTGTTTGTAAATTATTACGGCTGTCTGCTTAAAATTCTCCGCGTGTGTTAAAAAAAAAAAAAAGTAATAATTTCTCTCTCTTTCTCTCTCTCTCTTTTTTTAATTACTCGAGTTATTTATTACCCGTCTTTTAATTTTTTCACGTACAAAATATTGAGTAAAGAAAATTCTACACTCGTCAAATGTTTTTTTTTTTTTTTTGTCATCGGATTCATTTTTATTTCCTCTTTGAAAGTTTGTATTAAAAAAAAAAAATTCCAATTAAAACCGCGATAATGTTTTCGCGCCAAACATTGGGGACCTTTGAAATTTCCCTAATTTTAAAATTTCAGGCGATAGAAAAAAATATTGAGGGAGACGCGGCCCGAAAAAACCGGGAGTGGTGGTGTAATCCTGTAATTCAACTACTCGGAAGCTAGGTAGAGAGGATGTTTAAGGGGCGGGGATTCTGGGATTGAATTTTCCACGTTGACTAGGCGACCGCTAGGGGGTAAATCTTCAACTTGGATGCTTTGAGGGAGCCCGAGGTTTAGTAGGATTAGTAAGTAGGGAAAAAATCGATCCGAAAGTCACCGAGTTGAGAGTCGTGGATTTAAATCCTGGGAGTGGGAGTTCAATTTCAGGTTTTCCTGTACCTACATAAGAGGGATAAGTGACCTAGAACCCTTTCGAGGCGTTGCAGATGCGCCAACTCTTGTTTCGTGAGGATGAAACTGGGTACTCGATCCAAAATAGGGTAAACGCGGAGCTGCGACGTGAAAGGAAGACAGATGAACGATCAAAGGGATTCGCGATCCCGGACAACTCCCTCTACTCTCCCCCCTGGAACTCATAAATTTAGCGGAAGAGGCAGGAACGATGGTAACAGCTCGGGACTGTCTCCCGAAGGGTAAAAAGGAAGAAGTATCGGGATTTCCACCCTCGCAAATGCGAACCTGATGGATTCTGGATTAGGAGGAAGATGAGGCTGAAATGTAGGTTGTACTCCCACGAACGCCCCTCCCTCAGAAAAAGATCACGGTGAAACACTTTAAGGAGTTTTATCTGGGCAGTTAATTTTAAAAAAAAAAAACTTCGAAAGGCGTATTTGACACTAAATTTCCACAGAAAGTTTTCATCTAATCGAGTGTTTATCTCTCTCTCTCTCTCTCTCTCTCTCTCTCTCTCTCTCACTCTTAAAATTAATTAACTTTAACGTTTTTTCAATTAGACGAATTACCTCAACGAACGCAAAGTGATGCTATCAAAAATTAATTTGAAAACATAACGACTCAAAAAAAAAAATGATGATGATAATAATAATAATAAACAAAACGGAAAAGAGACAAATTATTAATGATCATCGACTCCGAACGTATGCAATCGATTTTCACGACGTATTTTTTTATTTTTTTTTTTCGTCGGAACACTTTAAACAAATCACG